ATATAAATTTAATATCACAGGGATTTTAATAGTATCATTCAGATATTAGGAAAATTGCATTACAGATTTCACGGCTTAAAAGAAGACAAATGAACCGTTTGCTTCATTACATCACAGTTTTCTAATGTACGTTAAGCTTACTTGCTCATAAATCAGCATGTCTAATATTCTAGCTAAAACGCTAAAAAGTGACATTCAACTATGAAAAGTAGCTTCGCGGGATAAATCAATTTATTTCCAAAACGTCTTATTAATAGAGTTTCAGTAAAATTATGGCATACTTTTATGGCATACTTGGAGTAACATCAATAAAAAATTTTCTGCTAAATTAAATATACATACCTGGATTATTAATCTTCAAGAGCCTTTACTCAAGTTCATCGATGAAATCTGATGTCGCTTTAAGCTCTCACATATCATATCATTTATATGAATAATGTTTATAGGCGCGCATAGTTTCACAGATTATATTATTATATTTTTATTGACTGTCATATTAAAATTTCTTTTTGACTGCAGTGAATGTGCCTCATGACGAATATAACATTATTTTTTATATAAATATTATTATACCCAAAAATATATTAAAGTTACTGATTTCAATGTGTTTTACCTTCATTCCTTTAAGAAAATGTTATAAAACAATGACTTTAAAAAATAGAAAGATGCTAAAAAATATCGATTGTTCATTTTAACAACATAATAATTTACGATCACTTCTTTTTATATTGTCAAGGAAGTGACAATACCAGACGTATGCGACGTATGCGTAATACCAGAAGTAGTATTGTTCTGAAAGAACAAAAGACTCACTGTATTATAATGCAAATTAAATTATCGAAAGTTTCTTTCTTGCTTAAATTTTTCTTGTTTTTAATAAATTCATTTCGAACATTTATTGTATTATATAATCATAAAAAGAGAAACCTAGATTTAGCTAATAATATTTATGTCAGTTTCAGATGGCCAAAAAATTCTGAATACTTTGCTTAGACAATGAAATCATTGTAGCAGTATGCAAATTAAAAATATGGAAAACCTCATTTTGTGAAATTTGGAACATTCTTTCAAAACTGTTCAATCCATACCAAAATAATTTAAGTAAACTAAGAAGTAATAATTTAAAGTATTTAAAGCAATAATCCGAGTAAGAGGGTCATTGTTAATGGTTTAGTGAATAATACACGATTAAACAAGTTTTAGCAGTGTTTAAATGTCAAGACGCCCTTAAAGCTATTCAAGGCTATAAATAATGAATTATATACTTTGAATTCAAAGTGAATCTTTTTAATTCAAATTACCATCTTTACTAGCATTAAGAAGTAAATGGCAAATAGTAGAAAATTCTAAAACGTAAGTTACTAAGTCCGAAAGTTTTCCAAAAATGGCAATATTTTGTTTTTTATAAAATTTAATCTTCAAGCATTAAGGATTTGGCTCTGAAAAAAGTTCCCAGAAATGTCATGAATAATGGCACTTTCTTGAATATAATTCTAAAATAACCTTCTCACTTTGTGCTTCGACTCATTTCCTTCTAATATAAAAGAAACTCGAAATGGCTTACACCAGGAGCTGGCAGAAATATTAATATTCATTCCCGGGTAATGAATTCTAAAGCACTTTATCTACGTAATTTTATATCCATAACCCTTGGAGTATAATGATGTACACTATAAATAAAGGTACACATTTGACAGCTAAAATTCGAATTGTAGCATTAATACCCTTTATTATTTTGAACAACAAAAATATTTTTAATCACTTAAAAAATGGACATTAGAATACTGCTAATTTTTTCTTAATATTTACTTCAAACTAGAGGTCATTAACAGCCTTAACATAAGCTGGTTCATCATAAATGTAAGTGTTAACATGTAAGACACAGTTAGCTTTTGACAACACAAGATTTAACTTACTATGTTTAAACGAATTCACGTCTTTTCATGTATCTGAATTTTGAACTTCAAGAGAAAATTGAGAATAAATAGAATTGTTAAAAAGTTTATCAAAACCTGCGTCTCATTAGGCGACTAAAATATGTCAAAAACTAGCCACGGCATCTTTCAGGGACTCAGATTTATAAAAATCTAAATATTAGACACACTTTAGAGACATTAGGTTTTTTTTTTTTTTTTTTTTCTGAAGCAAGAGTACATGAAAAATGAGCAATGCCCTCGCCGTGACTCGAACATGGACCTCTCGAAAACGGGCCGAATTTTCTACTGTTACACCATGAAGGTATGCAGAAAGGAAGGAGAAAATACCTTATAACACAATGACTTATAAAGAATCATCAACCCTTCCACAGCGACTACAGTTTTTAGCACTCAGCGCTCACAAATACAAAAGCATCCACCAAAATAGAGGGAGATTTTAGGGATGAGAAGTTTTCTGGAAAGTAGCCACATATCTCTCTTTTCCGGCTGTAAAATCATTCAATATAAAATTAGTCTAATTTGTATTCTGTTGATGGCAAATGGAAGTATCAGAAGATACAGAAAATAATTAGCATTACAATTTCATGCTAGCTAAGAGAAGGAAGAGAAGGATGATGGGTCGGAAGAATAAGCAATTGAAACATCATAACGGGTGTGATGCCCTTCAACTAAAATGCATGCTTGATAACGTCAAGGCAAGCTGACAATAGTGTCGTTGATCTCTTGTTTTGGAAGTAGCGCTCATTGCTGTATTAATGATGTCGAAGCCCGTAGAAGGTACCTGGTGGCACACTGCGACCTGCTACTTGTCCCAAAATGTCCCACACATGTTCTATGGGATTCAGTTCGGATGATCTAGCATGCCAAAGCAGATATGGAATGGCTTCACTCTCTAGATAACTCTGGACTACTCGAGCTGTATGTGGGCGGGAGCTATTGTCTTTAAATATCGCGTCTGTACCCATTGCAACGATAAAAGGGCGCACAAGAGGGTGTAGAATTTTCGTCGCGATATCGGACGGCTCTGACAGAACCACCTGGAATCACGCTGCGGTTGGTGCGGCTGTTCGTTGCTATACCAGCCCATATAAATAAGCATCATCCTCTGTAATGATCTCTTTCGACTATGTTTGGCGCCCTATACCGTGTTCTTGTTATAGGGACCTACTATAGCTCTTGGCCTTTCAGAAATCGTTTTGGATGTTAAATATAGATTCATCCGTAAAAAAAACCAGGATAAACCATCATGTAAAGAGTATGTGGCCCCACTGCTCTGCTGTCTAACTGCAATGTTCAGGGTCCCAATTCAACCAGACTCTGACATGGGATGGGGACAAGGGAAAAGAAACCACAGGTCATCGAACGTACAGTCCACCTTCAAGCAGTCGACGTGACACAATTTTACGAGATATGGGCCGTCCTGCGGCAGCAGAGAGATGCGACGGCAACTGTCGTCCTGTTAGAGGTCTACGGCATCTTGCCCGTGGCAACAGGAAGCGATCATGTGTCGCTGTGGTAATCCTACGGCGTCCAGATCCACGTCTTCTACATGAGTTTTGATCACATTGGTAACGATTCCATAGCCTATTGATAACACTACGATGCACATTCAGCTCTCTCGCCACAGCGGATTGTCTTGCACCAGCTTGCATCATTCCGACAGCCATCCATAGCATTTCAATTTGCAAATAATGTCTCCGGCTCATGCTTTCCGCTTTGACTGTCTCAACTTACACTGAACTATCGCTGCTTGCGAAGTGTACATATGTCCTGTAGACCCTTTTTAAGGCGTTGTTGTGTAACTGCAGGTGTGCGTATTATGATAATTTTGGTTGCCCATTTGCATTCGATTATGCAAGCTCATATGTAAATTTTATGGTTTAATTCCCGATTTCACATTCATACCTTTTCTTTTAGCGTATGTTGCTTATTTTGTGAACATGAGTATCTCACTACTAGATAAATATCTTTTTCCTCAGACAACTGTTTGTAGCAACAAAATATCTTCAGAACACTACCTCTTCTAATGCCCATTAACACAAACACATCACAGTGTTAGACCAACTGCAAACGAACTCGAGTTGAAAAGATATATATATATAAGTAATCCAAAATTTCATCACATAATCAACAAGATCGTAAAATATCTTTCAGATTAAGGATTGGATATTTGCGAGCAGTAATTGTTACAAAAATTCTTTATATTAGTATACACAATTTTCTAAATAATAACTGCTTTAGAATGTTTTGGAACGTTTGCAGGGGTCTTTTGTTGTATGCTGTACTGGATCAATAGCATCACGGAACAGAACCTGTATCACCATAGGGAATCCTCTCCGTGTCCCATATGCTTATTCCCGCAGTGGCCTGTTTAATTAGTAGTACAATGTATAGGTATTTTCTCCCTCCTTCCACCATGCTTCCGTGGTGTAACGTTTAGCACACCCGGCGCTTATTCGAGAGATCAAGGTTCGAATCCCGGCGAGGACATTGCCCATTTTTCATGTCTCTCGCATAAAAAAATCCTAATGACTCTACAGCTTGACAAAAAATTTATATTTATTACTGTCGTTAAGATTAACGGCTAAATATTTCTTCACCAATTATTGCAATAAAACAACATAGTTTAAAATATTTCACAATAATTGTTATGTAGGGGTATTATTAAAGTATTTAAAGTAATCGTAATGTCACTGATATGAAGAAAAGCGAAGACGATAAAGAAAATGGCTATATTTGCCAGCCAATATTTTGAATGTAATGAGTACTATAGTGATGTAATTTACAAATCAACCGAAATCAAATATTAATAACATACTGCTTCGTTTTTCACTTCAGAAACTAATTTTCTTAATTAGTATTTTGCTGTCAAAGTGTAGCATCAGTTTCAAAATATTCATATTCCGAGCAATAACTGCAGACGTGATCAATAAAAACGTACGCAGTTTTCGAAGTAAATATAAGAAAATCACTCAATTTGTTTAAGTGTTCTTAAAGTCATTCACCTTAATTCTAGAATAGATTAAATCAGTAATAAAGGTATCATGTTACGCCATTCTTAATTCACAGTTCCCATTTCGGATGCATACCATTTGCTAATAACTGTGACTGTAAAGGCTAGAAGTGAAAGGCTAGGAGAAAAATAACCTCAAGTTTAATTCTGTTTTAAATAACCTCACTCTCTCAGAAGCAGAAATGTGGCAACCACTCACTCGTTATGATAATCTTAACTTACGATGGCATTCTGTATTATACTAGAAACTGAGCAAACTAACTGTCAGAGTTAGTCTTCCTGCATTACAAGGCTTTATGATTATATATTTTAATGAGGTTTAGTGAAACTATTTTAAACTGACTTATTATTTAAATGCATTATATGATAAAAATGTCAAATTGAGTTTTTAATTGAAATTACGTAAGAAATGAATTGAGTTTTCAGACGTCTTATTTGAAAAAACAATGAATTTCTACGCTACATTTATTCCTGAAGTTCGTTATTTTTATTTGAAATCAGAGACCTACACAAGCGCAGGCAGTTTTTGTATTTTTGCCCTGTAACCACATATTTGTTTGCTAATTAATTTGTGTATTTGCAAGTTTTAGTAATTAGCATTAATTTGGTATGTTAAGATCTAGCATTAAAGAAATTGTTATACTGCCCGCATGTAACGGGCTATGCTAAGAAATCTTATGACTCAATGGTGAGTGCAGTATAATATTTTTCATAAAATTTTTGTAAAAGCGCCTATTCAAGGTGTAAGAGATCACTTCGAATTTTGTGCTTTTATTATTTGGAGAAATGAACCGTTAAGTTTATGTCTTCACTAACGGGTAACATCAAAGATCAACTGCGCCTTTAAAGGGATTCGAATGACGAATTTCCAGTTCCAAATGTAAGTACTAAATATTTACATCATAAAGAGAGGGTACGGTGAAAATTCAATAATTCTTTGCATTTTTTCACTGCTTAAAGAATGATTGGGGAGAGGTGCTAGACTCAGCCGAAGAAATACAAGTGATAATGATTTATAGCCTGTCACATTTTGTTTGGACGCCACTTAGAGACTATGAGGACTTCGGATGCGAGAAATGTGAAAAATAAAGAATCACTTCTCCGTGATTCGAGATACGAATTAGCCAGTGTCTATCTAGCTAGATGTGCGATTTAAAACACAAGCGTACGAATGTACGATTCCGATGTTACCTTACAACGTAAATAGGACAGAAAATTTATGCTAAAAATTACATTAAAATAAAAAATATTATTAGAAATTGGTTTCTCACTAAATTAATTGGTAACATTTAACTTTTGTCTAGACTTATCTACAGAAGGTTTTGGTCACGATGAGGGAAGTAAGATGAGCCGAGTAAGTGTGAGGCAAATAAGGCACTGGCCTCAGGTGAACAACTAGCATGAGAGCAAAATAAAGTGCGAAAGCCTCGAAATTCATTTAAAAAAAGAAGTTATGATCATTAACTTTCAACTTTGGAATATATTAAGAAGTATAAAAAGAATTTTGGGTTTCACGCAGTCCAGAGTCCAGATGAATTAAAAGAAAAATTAATAACATTAATTTATTTTCAAAAGTATTGAGCTTTTACAGTATAGTCAGTGTATGTTGTTTTCCAACATTAAAATTTATTGTTCGAAACAACCGTTGAAAATAATTTAAGCTTGTTTACAATAATGTATTGGGCAGGATATGCTAAGGTTGTCTGGAAAATGCCTTGCTGCCGACATTTGTAATTCTTTACCATGTCTGTTTAATTCGAATATAACTTTTACTAATTTTACTTCGCCATAACAAGTTTTCTAAAGTACGCTGCCTGAAAATTGGATGGTGGGCTTGGAGTTTCTTGCGGCAGGGAACTTTTTACATAAAGACTCATTGAAATAGCATCGAGAGTTTGAAACAATGATGTTTGAGAATTAAATATAAGATATCGGAAATTGCGAAGAGTTTTCCATGAAACGGGTGCGTATTTCGAGGTTTTTATCTCGTATTCATATGCAATTTTCCCCGGATTTGTATAATTGCTTTCATTTACGGTTTTCTAAATGAGTTACATATATTAAAGGACGGACTAAGCAAATTGGCATATTAGGCTGTCTCATAACTGTAAAGGCTGGAATGGAAACATATAAGGTAATACATGATTCTACTTGAGTAACTCTACGGTTTATAATGAAAATAAAACTAATTGTTTGTTATCAAAAAATAAAAAGAGTTTTAAAACTTTAAATTTTTAAGACGAATGGTTCTGGATAATTTTAATACAACTGATGCTAAGTTTAAAGAACAAGCTTTATAAAGTGTAGTTTCGTTCTTTTCACTTTAAGATAAAGGATATACTAAAAATATACTAATTAAAGATTCAATTTTTACTAAAGAAATTTTAAGTAATACACTTTCGGAAAGATAGAAACAGAAGGGCAGGAGGCAGGAAGAGAAACAAATAAATGCGATAAAGCTACAGATACAAAAATACAAGTGAAATTAAAACGTCAGGCGTAACCAGACCAAGTGAGGTAAACTAGTTCATTGTTGAAAATAAAAATTAGTTGCAAACCCGTAACATATAAAGTTCTGTTCAAGCACAAATATTGTGTTTTCATTTGCAGTTGTATACTACATGTTTCACGTCATGAACAATTGCATGACAGGCATAAGAAGCTATTAGATATGTGCACATAAAAATGAATCCATGATAATTGAAGGAAGCTTAATTGATTTTATAAAAGTATAAAAACTGATGATAATTTAGCAAAAGAAATTGTTTATAAGTTAGAAAAAGATGGCCTCTTATTTCAAGTTTGAGCAACGTCAAGCAAATCTACGTGTAATAAATCTATGATAGTAAGACTAATACGGTTGGACTTTTTTTTTTACTTTTACACTGCTAAAGAGGACTACTGACCGGGAACAAGCCCTTGCAGTATGATGTCCGCCCTGCAGACATTTAATAAGTCTAAATTTGAAAAAAAAAAAAAAAAAAAAAAAAAAAGAGTACAGAGTCACATCTAGATAGGGAATACAAAGGACTACCTTGAATACATATGACATTCCTGATAGTATAGGTTACAAAAAAAATAATAAATAAAAAAAATACTTAGAAGTACAAAGCTGCATGATACAAAACTGGTAAAGGTAAAAAAAAACAGTAAATTTAAGACTAACATGTGGAATTTCAAGCCTGCAGTTATACATCACACTGACTTACTATATACACTTACTATAATTCCGCACATTACAACATATTATGCCATATATTATACGTTGCGCGCCTCTAACTAGCACGCAACCAAGAGGTGACTGTGAAAGCTTGTATAAAACCACAGAGTCTTATAAAGGGTTTAAGTCCCTTTTTATTCACGTAATAAATTACAATGGCGTCCTCTTGACGCTTACAGACTGTGCCCCCTAGGCAGTCAAATAAAAATAAAAACCTGAAAAGAAAGTAAAGACAATATTCTAATTACGAGGCTGTCTAAAATAACTCACCGCGTTTTACAAATACCGCAGCTAATTCAGCAGACTTGAAGCTCACTGGAACAATTGGCAACTACTTCCCGCCAAGCACATAGGCCGCAAACGCGGGGTTCTTCAATTCTCGATTTCTACCTCCGCGCTCGCTAAGTAAGAAAAACTCTCACCGAACTCGTTTCCTTCTATTTAAATCATACTACTTCCGCTGATAATTTGAATGCTTGCGCGTTCTACTCAAATTTACATATTCTGGCATTGGCAGTTCCAGGGGAAAGTAAGGCTTAACAGGAAAGATAGTTTAAACTTAAAATAAATGTTAGTTAAAATAAATATAAACCCTATACATTTGCCGCTGCCAGAATTTGGAAAACTTGGAAGCAGGTCCTACAAACGACCTGTTGTAAGTTTATCTAATTCTGAACTAACTGGCGAAAGCCTCGTTTACACAAAAAAAATCTTATGTAACAATTATATATTAAAATTCTGTTATTCGTTACAAAGCTTTCTTCTTACAGCCAACTTTTCCTGGACTTCATCAATCAATCTTGGTCTTTCCTTCCAGCATCTGGAAGGAATAAGTATCAGTATCTTTCTACATACATTATAATTTACACTTTCTTGACACAATAAATTTTTGTTTTTAACGATTCGTTTTTCTTAGTTATTGCTTACTTCACATTCATTCAATTTTTCAAGCATTAATTTAACTTTACCCTGGCTCTCCACCATGTGTGGTGTCAAACGGGAATATTCGTGTTTTAGTCTTACAACACTTCCCCTAACCACCATGATTTGTTAGAATTCAACAACCAAATAGACACACCTTACTCGACATTCTACAACTCAATGAGCTACTTTAATATTCTTAAAAATTCAAAATGTAGGTGGAGAACCCTACAAAACACATTCATTCTAGCTTCCCCCTCATTCATCTTTAAACATGCAGGCTTTCGCTCTAAAGCATGACTTTACAGTTTAATACTTAAATTTTGACTTCATTGCTTTTAAGCATTCACTTTTAGCATCTACAATTTTATGCTTCTAAATGCTACTTTTACATAACATGCAAGTATTTACATACATTTACAAAAGTTTAATACATATGCTTTTTACAATTTTTTACAATACACATAAAATGAATAAGAGAAAATAAATTTTTACTTTACTCATTCTTCGCCAAGCTGGCGGCACTGAAACTAAAATTCTTATTAGTACAAGAATACGAAGTTATTTTTATCTCCGGCCAAATTTTGGCTTTAACATAACAGAATTAGTCTTTCGACCAACAGAAAATGCTTGTTTTTAGCTTTTACACTTAAAGGAAATAATACTTTTGCCTTAGCTAAATAAAGTAAAACAAAACTAAGTCTCAACCGAGACATATTGACTTTCGTCAAAACATAGAACTTCGTACTTATGCATAACATTTCGGAACAAAAGAGAAAAAAAAATTTATAGAAGGTTTTAACTTATCTTTGAGTTTTCGATGCTTGAAACTCCGTCATCCGTTTTTGACAAAATTGATCCCAAGTTAGAGGTGTCATGGATGTCAATCTTCTCCTTATTGGTCTCCGAGTGTCGTCTCCGTTGCTCTTTCTTTTGCGTCCTCTACATGCTGGCCTCTTGACG